CATGAGAATGACACAACAGCGAAGCGAAGGTTTTCTTGTGAGAAAACGAGGATATTGTGCGACACTTCGTGGATTGGCGGATAACCGGGTGGTCGGGCAAAGATGATGAGGTTAAGTCGGTTGACCACCGCCCGGCCGGTGGCGGACCCGTGTTGTTGATAACAAGTTGAGACAACGGTAACTTACCACCGTTGCCGAACTCGTAGGCAGCACGGAAACAGATTTTCGTTATTAAATCGCCGTGAGACGCAAAAGCAGACGACCGAAAATGGACGACAAGGCGACAGGCGACACCGAAAAGAAAACACGATGGAGGGTATATCAGCACGTCATAAGATGCCCATTTAGATTTGTGCCGCGGGACAGGACCAATGAGGAAAACGCAGGCCAGTCGAAACACGGGAAACGGCGAAACGATGGTAACTCTGAGCGGGACAAACGAGGAGCCAAGTCGATGCTTACTTTAGCTTGGGAAACCTTGTGTCGTCTCTCGTCTCTCTCGTTGTCCCGATCCTTACCACCCTGCGTTCATTGCCTCAACGCACAACTGACTAGCCTTTTGTGCTTGTTGCGTGGTGTCGGACTACGAGAACGGGCCACACGTTCACTCTCCCATCCGCCTGTTTCACAGAAATGGATGGAACAGACCACAGGATCACAGGATACAGGGCAAATAAGAGGCGTGTTGTTTGAATGGATACAGCACACCTGCCGGTAGGGCATGTGCGTCTGTCACTGTACGATGCGTCCTTTGCGTAATGCGGTTGATGGTAATGAGATAGCGTCAGAGTATAGTACACGAAATCTTGTCGATCCCGCATGATACTACTGTATTTGTTGTCGTTGTCATGCTTGTTCGTTGAGGGATGCGAACAGTTCGACGTGTGCTGGAAAAGAACCATCGCTGCCTGGCGGATCGTTGGCGCGATTAGAGTTCCTTTGACATCTGTAGCCGAGATGTATCTGCGCAGACGGAGGTCGAGCGTCCCGTGATATGCTGGACGATATCGCCTTGCGTCTAGTTGTCTGAAACGGACCCTTCGTCGTGCCATCTGGGGTCGGTTGGCCCTTCATCCAAGAAGGAAAAGGCGCACAGACAACCGACAGACGAGTGGCGCGGCGACGACCTGCAGCTGGGCTGCACTGGCCAGTCCCAAAATCACAACGCACCTGGTAACTAACTGGGCAAGGTCGAAAGAGGCGCAAACGAGCAATACGGCCACTGGGCGACCGCCTTCCCAACAGAATGACCGATTGGAATCTTGTCACCCTTTCCGAGGACTTTGTGCATGCAATCCGTGCCTTCCATATTCGTGACTGCCTGCTCCGTTGCCCCACCCCCCACATTCGGCGTTGAGGCCGGTCCCGTGAGCCGGCCGCTGTTGCCTATCCACCACAAGGCAAAGTCATCCGGCCCGGCATTGGTGTGAATGGATCCCTTTGCACTACATATTCAGCTTTCAACGTCCAACTTGGCGAAGTATCTCCCGACATCTGTGCACCCACAGGTGCTTTGGGCGTTATGGGCATTCTGCATTATGTCTCCTTCAGCATTGGTAATACAGGATGATTAACAGCGTATGTGGAAGACTGTGTCAGCGCGTCGTCGATTGTGTAGGATGTCCGTGCATGAACTTTTGTTTGCAGTCGCTCACTTGCTACGACTTTGATGCAGGACAACAAACGAGGGCACGATTGCTAAAGAAAATCAGCAGATAGCCTCAACAGCCAGTCAACGTGTCGAGAAAACAAACGGCTAACCCTATTGGGCGGGAAAAAAAAGAAACAGAGAGAATCCAAGAACCTGCCGCCAACGACACAGTGGATCTCTTTTTGGCCCTCGTCGCTTTTATGACGATGTTGAGCCTCCAGTCCCACTTTTTCGTTTCTCCAGATGCTTCCAGTTGCTCGCACAGCACAGCCCAACCTCCGCCAGTTCGCCCTGCTTGTATCGCTGGCTCTGTGTGACTTTGAGGCTCGTTTGGCGGACGCTTGAGTGCCAGAGTGCTTGCAGGGACTGCATCTGGCGGAGCACAGTGCAGCAGGGGGTGCTGAGCGTGCAGCAAAAGCGCGCAGCGCCGCATGCACCATGCAGTCGCCTTGCCCTGCCTCACTGCCTCATTCCATTCTAACTCGTCCTGGCCGCCGTGCTGAGGCAGTGTCTTGCGAGTGGTCGGCCTCTCGTAGCATTTTCTGTTGTTTCTTTTTCGTTGTCTAGTCGATGCCAATTGGTAGTACCGTGTTGTCATGATCCACTACGTCCAACAGCCCTGGAAAACGGACCTCGATCTGCCTGGTGGCTGCTGGCTCTTCTGACCTAATGCCCAATGCTGTACAAAACGGGCGACGGAGTATCGAGTATCCGGTAGACCCATCTTGCCCGTTTTTGAGATCGTACATCGTATGGAATCGGTCGTCCGTCTTCTGGGTCCCCTCTCACTCCGTTCACCCACTTGCTCGCCCGTATCTCGAGATACCCTTAAAACCCGGTTGACCTCGCGCCAGCCGCATTCCAAGGCCAAGTACCGTTCTGCTACCACCTTCTGCACTTGTCGGTAGTCCCTTGCAGCCGGACGGCATGTGCAAACTGCAGAAGCAATTCCGTACACAACATGGAGGCAGCAGGATGTGCATTTGTTTTTGGTCAGCATTAGGCCGGAGGTCTTTTTACTTGGCATCGCGTGTTGTTATCGAGCACGGATGCAAATAAAAACATGAAATCACCACCACTTCCCAAGTGGTGTGCACTTGCGCAGTAGCGTCCAGTTGGAGCTCCTTTCTGCCTGTTCCGAGTCCAACCAAGCACGCCTCGTAGTAAATATTGAGCTCACTCCGTACATCGTGTGCCGCTAAAAAGGTTAGCGCAGCAACGTCCCGTGTCTCGCGCCGGCACAGTCTCCTCCTCTTGCGTCGACAGTCACCACCGTGCCAACGCTCCCCCTCATTCGCCGCTCCTGTCTCTCCTCCCCACACACGCCCCTGCCCAGTCCATCCAGCTTTGGGTTGTGCTCTTACACAGTAATTACGATGTATGTACATCCGCAGACAGCCCAAATGCCAACACCCCAGGACACGCCAGGACGGGACGTCTTCGCCACCACGGCCGTTGCCATTCGCTCGCTCCCGCGTCTTGCCCTCAGACGTGGCCCTGTCTGTCCCTCTCCGTTCTTGTCGATACCACTGATAACAAGCCAGAACGGAGGGGCAGAAACGGCTTGGCGTCGTTCGTACAGCGGTTCAGCACCTTCCGGTTTAATTGAAATTGTGAGGGTCGGTCGGCCCTGCCATATAGCTCTCCTCTGTGTGTAATTACGAGAACGGAAGGAACGATCACAACCACACATGCAATTGACACCCCTGTCGTCCTGTTTGTGCCTTCTCGTCCTCTGGCTGTGTCTCCACCCATTTGCGCCTTACTTCTGGAATTGCAGTGTTTCGCTGCGAAGAAGACAGCGACATAATCACAAGAAGCCAGCGACATAATCACAAGAAGACAGCGGCATAATCACACCTCATTTCCCCAGCATATGTCCTCACGCTCTTCCTGCAGTTAGACAGGCTGACCCGTAATTCATACAAACACAAGTCCGTTGGTTTTAGACGAAGCCATACCGTCATCCTCGTCCATTCCATCGTCTTTACAAGCAATTCGGCCTATTCATATCTGGCAAATGGACCATGTGTCTAGCACTCTACGGCATACAGCCACTCTTTCCGAGTCTCAAGGTCTCGTAACTGCATATCCTCGCCGTCTCATAGCCTCATGTTCCCACAAAACTACACAACACCACGTCTCCTGCCGCTCTCCGTTTATAAAGTGGGTCCCCTGTTTCTTGCACACCCCCTCCTTCCTGGTCGGCCGTCCCCCCCTCGCACCCCTTCCGAAAAGGCGACAATGGAAAGAAGGGAGAGTAGCGTAAAGACAAACCTCATATTCTTCATGAGACAGCAAACACAAACAGAAACGGCAACCACCACCGCGGCCATAGAAACGCCATCTCGTCCCTGTGGCTGCCACAGTAATTTGTGACTCTACATAAACAAATTGACATTCCCAGAACGCATCCGACCACTGTCTTTCTTTCTTGTTTCCTGCACTCTGCACTCTCTTGCGTCGGTTTTTTTTTTTCTCGTTCTCTTCATTTCTGACTCATGTGTGGCTGTTCGTTTGCCAGAATCCGTCAACCTACCACCGTCGTCCACATATTCGCTGCTGGGTCGTCACGAGGAAGAAGGACGAGGTCCGAACGAATAACGGACCTCGAACGAAACGGCTACAGCGAATAGGCCCCTGCTCGCCCACAAGTGCCCTGGCTTTCCAGGAAACCCCATACTCCATCCTGCCCATACCCAAACAAAAATCCATAAAACCACCCGATCCCCACTCAACTTTTTTGGCTCGTCTCTTCCCGACTGGCGAAACCCTGCAAACATCACCCTACCATCCAAGCTGCCCAAGGCATCCGGGAGAGAACTGGTTCTTCTTCTTGGCTGTTCCTCTCCTGCCCTCGACGAACAAGATCGAGACCCTCTCACGACTGCCTATTGAGCACTACGTCCGATCCACGCGCCCCTGCTTCACTCGCTGCCTGTGAAGCTGCCGACGTCCGCGCCCAACACACTCCATCTATCTAATCAACGGTCACACAATCTCAAGCGGGGATAGACACCTACGACTGGGAGACGAAAAGCGACCATCGCTGCCTCACGGGCTGCACGCGCGCCCCGATACTTCCTTTCTCCTCGTGTCCTCTTTCCTTCATTCTTTATCCTTTTTTTCTTCCTTGCCCTCGTTTCTCTCTTTTCCCTTTTCATCTCCTCCAACGCCCTCGGTTTTTCTCGTGTCGTTCTTTGCACTGTTCCCCTGCCCATCTTCATCGCGCCTTACCACTCTCCGTTGTCTCTGCTCCACGCTGCCCACTCGCCCACTCTTGCTCTCGACGACTCAACTTTTCACAAAACGCTCAGTGCTCTTTTGATACCAGTGTAGCACCTCCACGATGTCTGTCAAGAGTTCAAAATCGTCAAAGGTGGCCTACATGCAAGAGGAGGACGACCTGGGAAATGTCCGTGGAGATGTCACATACGCCGCATCAGCTGCGCCCAGTCCCTCCAAAGAACGCATGAACATCAGCAGAAAAAAGTCCCGCCGCGATGTATCCCCATCGGCCGCCAACCACTTCACGGACTCCGACTCGACTGCCCATCCGAGGCGTCGCGAGTCAAGATCTAGCAAGTCCTCAAGACCACGCGGCGACAGAGACAGGTCCGTCCCGCCCGAGAAACAAGCCCTCACCCGCCCGGCAACGCGGCATTCGAAGAGCACCCCGGTCATCGAGACCGCATCTCAACGCCGCCGATCGCGCGACAACCCAGAAGCAGTGTACTATGGGGCCGATCCTGCCTCCATCGCATCCGCCCAGGCTCGCCCGCGGTCAAAGACGGCTGCGCCGCGGCCTAATTCCGCCTACCACGCGTCCTCTCGCCCTCCTCTCTCGAACTCGCGATACCACTCGCTGCATCCGTCACAACCGCCACACCCGTCCGGCATGCCGCCCCCATCCGGTTTCATGCCCCCGCCGCCACCACCGCAGCAGTGGCAGCCACATCCGCTGCCCCCGCACGGCTACGGCATGATGCCACCACCCCAACCACCTATGCACCCGCCTGGGCCGCCTGGGCCAGCGTTCCACCACGAGCCTTTCCCGCCTCCGGCACCTCCTAGCAATGGCGGCATGCGGGGACTTCAACAGCGCTTCGTTCACGGTCGCCCACAGACTTCAATGGGACACCGCCCGCCGCCGACTGTCGAGTATGGCAATCCAGACGGATTCGAGCCAGAATCCGACTTGAGCCACGATATGCGTCGCCTTTCCATGAGCCACGGCCTAGGTATGGAGGATGAACGCTCACGACCTCCGTCGATGCGTCCCATGTCTGCTCGGCCAATGCTGTCCTCGCCCTTTGCACCTCCCATGCTTCCTCCTTCCGGACCCGTCTCGATCCGAGGACAACCTTTCCAACCTTTGATTGATGAGCCATTTGAACCCCTCGAACCCCTTGAAGGCTCGCACCTTGAATATGGCATGATGCATATCCCGCGGACTCGCCGCGAAAGCATCGATCCTTACCAGATGGATCCGCGACATTATGTAACCGAGGTAGCGGGCACAATGGGCAGTCGTCGGAACTCATACTACGGGGAGCAGCCCATTTCGTCTGGCAATGCGTTGGATGAGAAGCTTCGGTTTGCCAGCTCATACCAGGATAAAACGACCGGTATGGCGACGGCAGGCATGCGCCTCACAGAAGAAATGCTGTACGAAGCTAGCCGGCGCGGCGGTCCCAAGAGCCGGTCAACCCGCAGCTCTGGCAGCCGCGACGAAAGCGACTGGCGGCAGTCCGCCACGACGAGAACAACGCGGTCCAGCAACGAAGAAGACCTGACCATCCGGGTCAGGGGCAATGCTGTCTTCAAGTATGGCGAAACAGAAATGCATTGCCAGGACGGCACCGAGATCAACATCCGTGGCCCACCACAAGGCAGACGGATCGGTAGCAGCGACAAGGCCAGCTATGCAGAAAGAGATGACCGCAGAGGGCGCCATGACTACCCTGCTCTGCGCAGCCGTGCGGCCTCCCAGTCTAGGTCCGTCTATGCACCGACATCTGCACCATATGAGTACAACTACGACGGGGCCCTGGACTACACAGGTGCTCCCTTTGATCCACTTCCAGCACCCGGGTCCTGGATATGATATAAAGGAATGAAAACGTCCACTATAAAGTACGACCAAAAGAAAATGACGAAAGATCCAAAGTTTGAGGCAGCCTCGCTAAACGCAAGATGACGTTCTTCTTCTTTTTCTTTTTTCTTTTTCTTTTCCTTTTTCTTCTTTTAATTATTCGAAACGACGATACGATATGTTTTGATTTTTTTTTCTATTTTTTTTATTTGACCTGCGGCCCGCGTTTCTCCTTTTTCTTTTCGTTTTCCTTATAGGCATACTTGCAAAATGCCTTTTATTAGCGAAAGCAAGCGAGCGAGCGTTTCCATGTTTTGATGCTTTATTCTCTTTGCCCTTTCTTTCACGTCTCTTGCACAGTTGCCAATGGAGTTGTCGTCCTGGGGACGCAACGTGATGTCTTTTTCGGTTACGATTTACGAATTTTTTCAGCTAATCTTGTCACAATTTGCCCACCCTTTTTTACGATGGGCCCTGGCCACCCCCAGATTTATCAAATTGTCTTTTGTCTTCAAGCTTGTGTCATTACTATACATACGTGCTCTACCGACTGACGTCGACCGGCCCGTTTGTTTCCACGGCGGCATTCGTACTGGATTAAAAGTTTTGGATACCCTCTTTGTCATGAAGGCCATATATTACCCCAACACAGTTTGTTTTTAAACACAGATTATTTGAACGGAAATGGGAATATATCATTTACTTTCATGGACTCTCTTAACGAACAATACAATGCCTACTTTCCTTCTTAGACCTTGTGTTTTTTTTTTAGCAATCCCGACTTTGCCGGGCTTTCAAGCCAGAGTCATTTAACATGCCGACAGCGCATAATGACATGCCTAAAGTATGATTCGCAACCACCACCAACAAAAAACAGACGTCCCTTTCCCACCATCGACGCGATCCCTTCTCGAACTATGGAACAATGGAACAGAACTCTAAATCAACCTGTTCGGATTGACTAGGCCGGCCTTGGGGGTGAATAGGGGAGTCCGCATCATTCCACACGGCATTGACGACGAACTGTCTTCGACGGCGATCCCCCCTCCTTCTACGGTTATACTAGAGGCCACATATATGTATATTCATGGTAGATTTGCGCTCCGCCAACAGGGCCTATCCCTCTTAGTATTGTTTTCTCCGGCCGGCACATTTGCCCGTCTGGACACCCCAACATGTCCGGCCAACTGTAAATATGAGCGATGATGGACTGCTGGCTCCGCACTGCTTTCTACTTTGGACCATACGTTCCAATTTCACGTCGCCGGGGACGTTTCTTCGCCCTTCGAACACGCCAACGGCACCATATGCTAAATATAGGGGCTTCGTGTGGTCCTTTGCATAAAAAAGGAGTGTCGAAGCAGGTCCGTACGGTCTTTCTTCCCATACCTGCACTTCTACAGCTTCGTCCTAGCGCTTGGTGAAGCATGCATTGTCCCTGAGCCTGTCCAATTGGCACCGATGCAGCTGGACAAGGAAGCTCGCCTTCTTATCCCCCTTACTTCGGCAATGGACGTTGGTCGTGAGACGCATTGCATGGACGTTTCCCAGTTGGTCTTGCGTTGATCATGTTAATGCCACGCCCCTTTGACTCCTGTTCGTGAGGAGACAAAACGGAGCAATCGAGTGGCTTGCCCATAGTCAGTGGGCAATCAAAGTCCAGAACGGAGCGATCATGAGCGACACGTTTCTGTTTCCCGCTATGCAAGGCACATGGTACATGCCCATGAGGAATGCTGGGACATTGTGCGATCAAGGTGCTGTAGCATCAGCATGAGTAGAAACACGCCAGCAACCAGGCCAGCGGCAGGAAGCAACCTTGCTACGAGGCAGACATGGCGTTAGCAACGTCCTATTGGTGTTCTGTCCCATTGTTTGAGTATCCTCAATCTCTGCACAAAGGTTATGGAGGAATCGCAGCGTCTCCGCAGTTGATACGGAGGTGAAACGTCGTCTGGGTGACAGCGATACGGAGATAGGGGCCACAATGTGGGTGTCGGCGCTTAGTAGCAGGCGGCTGTCGTTCAATGACTTTTGGTCGTTTTTGGTCTGATTGGATTGTAATCTTTACAACCCAACCTGCATGCATTCAAGAATCACTGGAAAAAGAGAGACTGGCAACGGACGCTCCTTGACCTTGCACTCGTGCTCTGCCTGTGGCTGAGATATGTGTGGCGGACGAAAAGTGGGTCACGTGTGTAAGACGTGTGGTTGCTGGGATACCGTCTATTTACATCCCAAGATTCACCAATTCGTGAGGCACACTCTGCATATGTTGATGGGTGTCTTTTACCAGGTATGCCGCGTTAAATGTTGCGATAACATCTATATGAAGTAAAACGTTGCACATTAATTAACATTCTTTTTGTTCGCAGTGTCGTTTTTATTTTTATTTTTTTGTGAATTCTTTGCTCACGAACGTGGCGTCGCCATATTTTCTCGTTTTGGAAAGCATCGCGTCATTGGCGCCAGCCACTTTAAATGGGACAGCCCCTCGCACCTGCCCCAGCACTGCCCAACCTCGCCTTCCGGTTTCTAGGGGAACCAAACAAAGATAGGCCTATCGCCCAATTCTCTTCCCCCTCCCATTATCTCTTTGCATTCAGCGCAGATCTTGATCCTCTCTCCATTCCACAAAGTTGACATTCAATTCGAAGTTGTGTCGCGACAGCCTCCATCTATCAATCGACTATATATCCCAACTCATTACCAGTGAACAGAACCCTGACAACGGTTTGTTCTCTGCTTGTGGCTACGGCCGGTTGTCTCGCATCGCCCCTCTCGGCTGGCATCCAATCTGCTTCACAATCCTTCACAATCCAGCGCAAATCGAGGCCTCAGTCTCCGCACCTTTTGGCCGGCTGCCTTACCGGTCCATTCCAGCCAGCAACCAAAGAAACGAACAAAAATACCCGCCCAATGGCGCCCACCGTTTTCCGCGACCTAGTGTCGAGGCTCTCGACGTCGCGGAATGCGGTGAGCCCGACAAAGGTGTTTGACCACGGCCCGCTGGCGGCTCGGGCGATTCTCTTGGCTCGTGATGCAGCGACTACGACACCCGACCCACACGTGGGCGTAACTGCGCCGCAATCGATCAACAACAATGCTATCTTTGCGCTCTTTGGCATTCTAGGGGCCGCCATCTGCGTGGCCATGATTTGGTTCTTCTTCTGGGCTAAGAACGGCGGCTTCCACTTTAACAACAACGACTGGGAGGACTACAAGACGACAGTGCTGCGCCGTCGGGGGCCCAACGGAACGATCCTGTCAAACGCCACACCCAGCACCGACCTGGGCGGCGGCAGCATCTACAAGGATGTCGACGACAACTCGACTGAAGATGCTTCCACGGTGATCACCGGCGTGACGGGCATGACAGAGTCGACTGCGATGTCCGGTATCACGGCCGGCGTCAGTGACATTATGGGCCGCGAGAAGCGCCGCAAGAAGAAGGAGCAGCGTGACCGCGAAAAAGAACGGCGCCGCGAGGAAAAACACAACGAGAAGCTCCGCAAGAAGAACGACGGCAAGTCGCGGTCCAGCCGCAAGGTCAACGAGGACGGTGTGGTCGACGAGATGGCCGAGGCCAACGCCCAGGCCCACCTGCGCGACTACCGTCACGAGAAGGTTGCCCGCGTGGGCGGCATCAACAAGGCCAGCGACAGCTCGCAGTGGGACGGCTCCAACCCGAGTGCGTCGTCGGCCGCGACCGAGAGCACGGTGACGTCGGAGCTCATTTCGAACCGCGAACACACACCGACCAACACGCCAACCAAGAAGGGCATCCGCAAGGTGTACAGCACAGCTGACCGCAATGCTGCCCGTGAGCAGGAGCGTGTCCGCGCGGAGGGCCGGCGTCTACAAGAGCGGGGCCAGCGCGCCTCTCACTCGTACGCGGCGTCTGCCGCAGCGAGCAGCAACCGTCGCGACTTTAGCTGGCAGCACGGCGAGGATGCCAGCACACCGCTGCGCCAGATTGACGAGGGCGAGGGCACACAGGCCGGCGGCGACGGCCGGTCGCAAGTTCCCGGTGCGTGGACGGATGCTGGCCAGTCGGAGAGCGATCTTGGCACCAAATCGTACCGCCACGTCATTCCCGGCCTGTCGGCACCCAGCGCGTACTCGGGCAGCTCGAGCGTTGTTTCCGAGACGCAGGACTTTGCCTATGTCGAGGAGAAGAGAAAGCGTCGCCAAGAGCGCAACGGGGGCTACCGCCGCGGTTGAGTGGTGCTCGCTTTCGCCCGTCTGCCCTTGATTTGTCATGGCCTCGACCAATCCTATACTCTTTGATCTGAACTCTGCGTTTGTCCCTCAGTTTCTCCCCGGCTTAGCAATCCTGGCGTTGAATGTTTTATTACTTGTGTCCTTTTTTACCATTGCGTTTGAGTTACCTTGTGTTTTGAATCAGCCGGAGGGTATGAACGGCCACCGACAATGGGCGTCAACATTATGTGCTACATCTATGAAGCCAGCATTTTTGTTCTTTTTTATGCTTGTTTTGTGTCGCTACTTTCACCCCATCTTCCTAGTATGTAGACCACACAGATAGTTCACGAAATACGACCGGTTACAAGTAGCCGAAGCACACGATAAACCTGATGCAGAGCCAAGCGCATTGGATTTCCAGTGCGCTGTGCCGCCGTGTTTATAGCGCTGTTTTAGCGCTATGAGATTCCACATCATATGCCGAAAACGGCGCTGCCGTAAAGTCCGCCTAGTGTGGCACGTTGTGCGGAGTATTTTCGGACGCTTTGTCATGCAGGCCCTCCAAGCAAGTCAACGATTGATGTCTCGTTGGTGCCATGGTGATGTATCCCGACACATAATTGCGCTCTGTCTCAAGTGGGAATGCAGGCATAAACGGCCGAGAGCAGCTACTTGTATATATCTGCGGGGAAACTGCCATGAACCAGCTCGGCCAGACCCTGATTAGCCAGCTCACAAGGTGTCTGTGCAAATCCGTACGATATACGGGGTTTTACAACAGTCCGATGTCTAAGTCATCTTGAGCACACAGCACCTGGGCGGCCTACTAATGGGTTCGGGCTTAGTGTTGCACATAGCAAGCTTGTACCAGGTTCGTCGGCAAGAACCCCGCCGGTACAACATACACCTGCAGTGATTTCTAAGCTATGGGAGCTGAACTGATGCCCGCTTCAAAGAACGAGGAGATGCCGTCAACAGCAAAAAAGAAGCTCATTGCGAGGTATTTATAGGACGGCGGTCAATATCAAGGAAACAAGAATAGTCGTGCATCCTCCAATGACAGACAGACTGAGCCACATAGCATCGCACCTTGCATCGCAACAAGCACAAGCATCACAATCAAAATCAAAATCGCCAGCTCCCCAACTGCAGAAGCCAAAGATCAGAGCTGCAACACGCAACGCAATGGCCACTCCCACCGACATCCACCTCTACACGTCTCAGACGCCCAATGGCATCAAGATCTCGCTTCTTCTTGAGGAATTGGGCCTGCAATACAAGGTCACCGCGATCGAACTCACCAAGAACGTGCAGAAGGAGCCTTGGTACGTCGAGATCAACCCCAACGGCCGCATTCCGGCGCTCACGGACACGCATACCGATGGCAAGCCCATCCGCTTGTTTGAGAGCGGCTCCATCCTGCTGTACTTGACGGATCGCTACGACACGGAGCACAAGTTGTCGTACCCCTTCGGCACGCGCGAGTACTACGAAGTCAACAACTGGGTATGCTCTGTCTCCGTACACACCTGGTTCAGCTTGCACGCCTCGCCGTCGCTAACAAGTTGTAGCTCTTCTTCCAGATGGCCGGAGTGGGTCCGATGCAGGGCCAGTCCAACCACTTTTTGCGTGGGTCGCTCGCTACGTTCACCACAAACTTCGCGTCGCTGGATTGCTAACAGAAGCACAGGCTACGCTCCCGAGAGAATCGAATACGGTGTCAAGCGGTACGGCAACGAGACCGGCCGCCTCTACCACGTTCTCGACGACCATCTAGCCAAGTCCACGTCCGGCTTCCTTGTCGGCGACCGTCTAACCATTGCCGACATTGCTACCTGGCCTTGGATTGCCTCGCATCGTAGGTTTCCGTCTTGGCCGTATTGTTTGAGCTGCCAACAAAACACTCACAGACAACATAGGCTGGGCTGGCCAGACCCTCGACGACACTCCCCACCTCAAGGCTTGGTTCGACAAGATCCTCGCCCGTCCCGGTGTCGAAAAGGGCCGCCACATCCCGTCGCGCCACACGGCCCTCGACAATCTCTCGGTGGCCGACATCGAGAAGCGCGCCGCGTCGGCTCGCGCCTGGGTGCAGCAGGGCATGGCCGACGATGCAAAGAAACTGAAGAAATAGAGAAAAACAAAACGGTAAGGTAAGGCGGCAGGTCAGCCTTGCACTAAGGGCGGAACATGGTCAGATTGTCGACGACCTATGTTGTATTGTAGCACTGCATTCGAGCCGACTCCTACGGATAATATATGCAGTAAGCAGTGGCAAGCATGGATGTCAGCACTGTAAATACAGTGGGGGGCTGCCAAGAGATTGATGTATGGTACAGAGTACTCCGTACTTGGATATGTATTCGGACTGTCCTCATGTTTCAAAGAGATGAAAGCTACGAGTAATAAATCTGACGAATAAATAAATAAAAAAGAGAGACATAACATACTTTCTGCACTGTCCTAGCAAAGTACTGTTAAGTTTTTAATCCTCATTCTGGCTGAGTCTCGGTCGAAGTCGATGAGACCCAAATGCTTTCCAAGAGGTGCCTAGAGCTCCACAGTGCTATGGCGTTCCACGTGACAGCGGGATCTTGTCCAATCAGCATTCGCTATATCAAGCGGCGGCAAATGAACTTTTGCCCCTTCTTCGCAAGAACCTTTTGTCGATGCTTTGGAAGCCTTGACCTTCCAACTCAGTGCACAACTGACGCTCTATCGTCAGTATTGCCCCAAACCATCGACACAACCCTTACCGGCATCATAGCCTATTTGCAGCGACAACTCCGCCAAGATGTCTTGGAGAAACCAGGGCATCACCGGCTCGAACAACATTCCACTCGGGAAAGTGCGTCGCTTTGGAGGCGACTCTGAGCCCAGCAGCAACGGCGGCGGCGGCGACTACGATCGCGGCGACCGTCATGACCGCAGCGACTATCGTAGTGACCGGGGCGGCCGTGATGACCGCGACCGCAATGGTGGAGGCTACGACCGGGATCGCGATCTGAAGCGCGGTCGTAGCCCAGAGCCCCGTGGACCGCCGGCAACCGATGGCGGCCTTGATGGCGGCGTCCGTCGCCGCAAGAAGCGCAACCGGTGGGGCGACGCGTCTGACAACAAGGCGGCTGGTCTCATGGGTCTGCCCACGGCCATCCTGGCCAACATGACCAGCGAACAGCTTGAGGCGTACACGTTGCACTTGCGCATCGAGGAGATCACGCAGAAGCTCAAGATCGACGACGTCGTCCCAGCCGATGGCGACCGCTCGCCATCGCCCGCACCCCAGTACGACAACCACGGCCGGCGTATCAACACGCGGGAGTACCGCTACAGAAAAAAGCTGGAGGAGGAGCGCCACAAGCTGGTTGAGAAGGCCATTAAGACCTTCCCCAACTACCATCCGCCCCAGGACTATCGCCGGCCGACCAAGACCCAGGAGAAGGTCTACGTGCCCGTCAACGACTACCCTGAAATTAACTTTAGTATGATTGCTAACCCTTCTAACGCTTCTAACTGCTTTCCCCTGCTCCCCTCCCCCCGTCAGCCTCCCCGTTCCTTCCATTCCTGTTCCTCCTCTCTTCCTTGCCATGGAGCCGGATCTTTTCTCTCTGGGTGGCACTACCAGGCTCAACGACGCGTGCACGGTGTCTTTTGTGTCTTGGCCTCGTTGTGCAGGCCGTCCTCTTGAAGCCATCATGGGAACTGAACCTAACTTGAAAATATTCGGCGACTGCTTCCACTCCTTTCTTCCCCTTCTCTAACCTAGTCTAACCCTTGAAATCTGTCGACGCGATACAACCCGCGTTGGAGCCTATTAATTTGATACTAACACTTAGCTTTCTTCTCCTACTCAAGTTGGTTTACTTATTGGTCCTAGAGGCAACACCTTGAAGAAAATGGAGACAGAATCTGGCGCCAAGATTGCCATTCGCGGCAAGGGTTCCGTCAAAGAAGGCAAAGGTACGTAGTTTCCACCCTCTTATACTACGCCTCGCTTTTTTTCTTTGTTTTCTTTTTTGCCGCTTTTCTTTTGAACCACACTAACCAATTCACAGGCCGCTCTGATGCCGCACACTCCAGCAACCAGGAAGAAGATCTTCATTGTCTGATCATGGCAGACACTGAGGAGAAGGTGGAAAAGGCCAAGCGCCTGATCCATAATGTGATCGAAACTGTATGCGCCCACTGCGAACGCCTCAAGCAGCTGATCCAGCAGCTGTTCCCCCATGAGACTCCCCAAGCTAACAGGTTTCTTCTCCAACAGGCCGCTTCCATCCCCGAAGGGCAGAATGAGCTCAAGCGCAACCAGCTGCGTGAGCTGGCTGCCCTTAACGGTACCCTCCGCGACGACGAGAATCAGGCCTGCCAGAACTGCGGTCAGATCGGCCACCGCAAGTACGACTGCCCAGAAAAGCAGAACTACACTGCCAACATCATCTGCCGTGTCTGTGGCAACGCAGGCCACATGGCTCGCGACTGTCCTGACAGACAAAGAGGCGCCAACTGGCGCAACGATGGACCCGTGCGGCCCTCGGCTGGTCGTCTGGGTCCCTCGGGCAGTGGCGATGCGGTGGACCGCGAGTACGAGGTAAGCTACGCCGCAACCACGATTCCATCATTCTCTGTCTCTCCTGTCTTTCTTTTTCTTTTTCTTTTTTTACGTTTCTGTCTTAAAACAATACTAACTCCCCTAGCAACTCATGCAAGAACTCGGTGGTGGTGGTTCTGGCCCGCCGCTGCGCATCGAAGCTGGTCCGGGTGGTCCCTCTGGCCCCGGTGGTGGCAATAGCGAGCCCAAGCCGTGGCAACGTGGCCCGACAGGAGGACCTGCGCCCTGGCGGCGTGCTAACAACGACCGTGATAACGACGGTCCTCCCAGAGATGCTCCAGGTGGTCCCTCGGGCGGTCCCGCACCCTGGGCGCGTGATCGTAACTATCGCAACAACGACAACTACAACGGTGGTGGAGGTGGTTACGACAATGGTGGTGGTGACTTCTACAACGCTGGCAGCGGCGCCCATGATGGCTACAATGGGCAAAATGGGACAGCCGCACCCCCAGCCCCGCCGGGCATGGCCCCATGGCACCAAGCACCTGGAGCGCAGGCAATTCCGCCTCCGCCGTCGTACCATGGCGCTCCGGGCTACGGAGCGCCGCCAGGCATGGGCGGAGCGCCTCCCGGTCTTCACCCGCCCCCGCCCCCGCCCCCTCCTGGTGCCGGTGCCGGTGCTGGTCTGGGTGCACCCCCGGGCATGGACTCTGGTCTCAGCGCTCTGATTCAGCAGTACTCTGGTGCGGTGCAACCTCCACCGCCGCCGCCGCCTCCGGGTGATGCGCCTCCCCCTCCGCCGCCAAGCGACCAGCCGCCTCCACCCCCACCTCCGGGAGCGTAAAATTCACATTGCTTAACCATGACAGCCGACAGGAGTGAGTGACGAGGATACACGATTTTCGACAACCGCAATCGCAGGCGTGGGAAAGTAATGCGGAACTGACGAAGACGCCGCTTCTTTTGCTGTTGTTCTTTCACCCGACGACCAGACAACCGCACACGACCGACAGTTGGTGTCGGTGTTGCTTTGCTAACTGACTTTGTTCCACAATCTGTGGTGTATTTTATTGTACCTTTTGCCGCTTATGAGCTTCGAAGAAGACCGTTTTGGTGTCTTCAACCTAACTGTAACGCAGCCTTAAGTATGGATGTACTAACATACTAACTTATTGCGAGCCTTTCTTCACCGATGAGAGTAGATACATAATAACGAGGAGAAAAAAAAATTGCTGCCTGTCTTGCAAAAGTCAATGAAGTGAAAGCAGTAATAAATTTAACAAAGTGCTCCCAGAAGCGGCATAATTTATTGCCATTTGTTCATGTGCCTTCCCAGCCTGACGTTCACCATATTGAGAGAGTGGCTGTTATCAGGGAAGTCGCCATTAGAGCGGGGCCCCGTGGTTAACTTAGCGCACCCAAAAAGGAAGGAAGCTTGGGGGAAGAAGTGGGAAGGTGCTGTCTCCTGCCCAGCGTCGCGTATGGTGTCATTGGTTGGCCCGCTGCCGGCCAAGCTTCAGCGGAGACGCTGAAGCTGGTGGTTTGCTCCTGCCTTCAATTGGTGCGGGCGCGCGGCTGACGTACTTGGATGTTTGTATCATTGCAGCCTTCTGCCTCTAAAGCTTCCTCCCTTGCTTCCCCTCTTTCACCCCATGTCGTCGGTATTCCCCAACCACCCATTCCCTTCATTCGACTTTGCATTTCAGAGCATTAGGCGAGGATCGCTTGTTTGCATTGTCGTTTCTGGTGTCATCTTCTCGGTCGCTCGAAGAAAACGCCTCGGCACGGATGACAGTACCATTTTGAAAGGCGGCACTACCCTGCCTCGTCTTCTCTCTTTTCTCCCTCCCCGTCTGTCTTTTCCTTTCTTTTCGGCTTCTCCTCGCTAGACATGACGGTCCTAAATCCTTTTGCCTTCCGGCCGCTCCAGGTCACCTTCTGGGCGGTTGTAGTCTACCTTGCGACGGTCATCCCCATCATCCACATCCATGAAACCGTGCCCAGCCCGCCGGCAGAGTCAGCCCTAACGCGTGGCATCAGCATCGTCGAAGCATGGGCCGACCTTGCCAATCTGACGCAGTACATGCACCCGGCAAATAGCCACGCTAACGATGACGTGAGGGTCTTTTTGCTGCAGCGCATCTATCAGGTCCTGGACCGCAATGGTGTCTCCTATAAGACGCAGGCCGACCGTTCGGACGGCACGTCCTCCGTACTTACACCGCCCAGGAATGCCCCTGAAAGCATTGCAGACACGGCTGTGGTCGTCTTCGACGATCTGCTGACCAATGTGTCGTTCACCACGAGGTACTCCGAGGGGCGCCGCTCTGGCCTGTACTTCGAAGGCACCAACATCTACGTCTACATTCGCGGCACACGGGACGAGGCCGGCGACTGGTGGCGGGCACCCGCTGATTCGCCGCAGGCCAAGGCTATGCAAAAGCAGATCGTGTTGGTCAACGCGCACTTTGACTCCGTATCCTCGAGCTTCGGCGCCACGGACGATGGCGTCGGTGTCGTCTCATGTCTGCAGATCGTCCGCTACTTCAGCACGCCGGGCAACCAGCCGGAGCGGGGCATCGTTGTCCTGCTGAACAACGCCGAGGAAGAGTTTTTGCTGGGTGCCACTGCTTTTGCGAACAGCCCGCTGGTCCCTTTCATCGGCACCTTTGTGAATCTTGAGGGAGCTGGTGCCGGTGGACGTGCGGTGCTGTTCCGCGCCACGGACCTTGAAGTCGTCAAGGCATACCGCGAGGCACCGCACCCGCACGGCACGGTGATTGCCAGTGATGGCTTCAAACAGAACTGGATCCAAAGCGAGACGGACTATCGCGTGTGGGTGAACGCGCTGGGCTACCGCGGGCTTGACATCGCCTTTATGAAGCCACGCCTGCGGTACCACACGCAGCAGGACGACCGCAGGCACACGTCCACGGCCAGCGTCTGGCACATGCTGTCCGGCGCCCTCGCCTCGACCAAGACCTTGACCGGCTCGGCGGGCGATGCCGTGGAGGATGGCGAGACCGACGCCGTATGGTTCGACTTGTTTGGCGACAGCCTGGTTCTGCTCGCGCTCCGCAGCCTCTTTGCGTGGTCGCTGACCATCCTCATCGTTTCGCCGCTCCTCGTGGCCCTTATCCTATTTCTGCTGCACAAGTTCGACAAGGACTACCTCTTCCGCGCCTCCGTCGAGCAACCCGAAAGCGCCGATGCCGACAGCAAGGTCGACATTGGCGGCTGGAAGGGCTTTTTTCGATTCCCGGCGGCGCTGGCTGTGGCTGGCTCGGCTGTTTATGGAACGGCTCTCCTTGTTTGCAAGGTCCAGCCGTTTGCCATTTACAGCAATCTTTACACCATGTAAGTTCGTTTATTGCCCCCTTTCTTTGCACCGCACACTGACATGTGGGTCGGCGTAGTGTCACGCTTATGGTGACGGTATTCGTCTTCGTCTTTTGGGTCGTTATGCGCGTCGCCGACTTTGTCCGGCCATCCGCATTTCACCGGACACATGCTCTTTTCTGGCTCTTCGGCATTTTCTGGGTGCTACTCGTGGTCGCCGCTGTCGGCGAAGACCGCGGACACATTGCCTCTGGCTATGTCATCGTCTACCTGGCGACGAGCGTGTTTGCGTCTCTTTTGATCTCTCTCTTAGAGCTCTTTGCCCTAAAGACCAAGAGCGCCTACATTGAGGAGCTGGATAGCAGAATGAGCGCCCTAGCCAATGGCGACGAAGGCGACGCTCTGATCTTGCCGACCCCTGGCGAGGGCGTTTTCAACAATGAGAGCGCCATTGAGAATGAGCCAAACGATGCTGGCGAGGCCACGAGCGGCGGCCTTGACGACGAAGTGCCGACCGAAACAAGTCCCCTGATCGGTGGCAACATTCGCAATAACCGGCCCACCACGTTTGCCACGGGCTACCGGCGGTCCTTGTCTGCCCTTCTGGATGAACGCAGGCGGGAAGAGGCGGCGGCCGAAGTTCCGAGCAGCGGCCTATGGGCGGTCCAGTCGCAACCGTTTGGAGTCGAGCAGGGCTGGTCCAAGTACTTGCCCACCTGGACGTGGTTCCTTCAGTTTCTTATTCTTGGCCCATTCAACATTATCGTTGCGGCCCAGCTGCTGCTCCTCCTCGGTTCCGCCGTACAGCAGACGGGCACAGACGGCTCAGACGTACTGATGCCATATCTTCTCGTTGGCGCACTCTCGGTTCTGGCTCTGCTTCCCTTGACCCCCTTTGTCCACCGGGTGTCGAGGCACATTCCACTCTTTTTTGCCGTCGCGTTCATCGGCACGCTCATCTATAGTATTGCCGTATTTCCTTTTTCTGCTACGAATCCCTTCAAGTTCAGCCTCCGGCAGGATTTCTCAGTGGACCATGGCAACTCGTCTGTCACGCTGACCGGCTATGAGGGCTACATTCACGACATCATCAACAACCTTCCTGCCACCGCAGGTCGTCCGTTGGCATGCACTGCCCCCGGTGGTGGGAAAACTGGGCTGCTCGACTGCACCTTTGACGGCACCGGTCTGGAGCCGCGCGTCGACGGTGACACTACATCGCCCTTCTCGGGCAGTTACGAAGGCCTTATCTCTGTGAACGTGACACGGGTGCCTGGCAAGTTGGCCGCTTCGTTCGACATTACAGCCGTCAACACCAAGGTGTGCGGCTTGCGCTTCGACCGACCAGTCAAGGCTGTCTCTGTGCGCGGGAGCAGCAGTGGCCTGGATACGCGCTTCGGCTTTGATAAAGAGCCCGCCCCGCTGGACGGCAACTGGGAGATTGGCGACTTTACGCTCTGGCGTCGGGACTGGAAGACGCCATGGACGGTCGACGTGGAATGGGCCGGCGACGGCAATGCCGACGCCAACACGGCCGGCAGCCTGACAGGCCACGTCATCTGTCGCTGGGTCGATGCCAACACGCCGGGAACTGCACCGGCTGCGGACGAGGCGTGGAAGTACGCGCCGACGTGGTCGATTATGGCCATTCGGCAGAGTCCTGGCCTCATTCAGGGCAGCAAGGCATTTGCAGTGTAAAGTGTGGATGCATGCAAAAATGGACCTCACGCTGTTCCCGTTTTCATATAGTTTTCTCTTGGCGTGCCATTTCTCTTATCTTCGGTACTCTGTATTTGTATTTGACGAGCTGGCAAGTGCTTTCAACTCTTGGGTCATATTTATAATTCCATTTTGTTGGTTCGTATGCTTTTATCAAGCTTAACATATTCCTTCTCACAAGCCGTTCATTTGTTCCCTGCAAGACCCATCTGAAATAGCGGCCGTCCGCTCCGGGTGCGCTAAATTAAGAACCTTGGGACAAGGCCCTGTCCATTAGGAGCTGCTGCTGGTTACATGTCTGGCCACCAGTATAAGCACCATGCAAGTTGCGCTGATGTAATTCTTCGTATCAACGTTGTAAGATACGTCGTACTGTAAACATGTAATGGTCATTGTCGAATATCCCATGGCCACTCATCATTGGACATGCAGAGCGGAAGACTGTCAGCAAATTGCACTTGATACTGGACGAGGTGCGAATTACTGCTAGGATGTAGCCAAAAGTCCTATAAAGCAATACAAAATTATTAGTCATGAATAAGCGAGGTCGTGTGCCCGGTGCCTCTTTCCTCCATAGCGCCGTTTAGTGCAGGCGGTTCGCTGCCTCTTTTTTTGGCAACAAGGCAGACTAGATTGCTCTTGCTTTTTGCCTTATCGCCCCCTCCACTCCACTCCACTTTCCCGCCCTCGCCTTGTTCCACTGGGAAGGCGCTACCCTCACAACTGCCCACAATCTAATCAGGTGCTCGCTGAAACCGCTATTGTTGTGCATCGCATCCCGCCACCACAACCACAGCCGAACGTTGCCTTTGTCAAGCATCTCATCTTGGACATCACTCTTGTGTTGTCTGCGTAGACTTTGGTATCAAGAAAGACCAGAACGACAAACGACCGATCTAGCTTATCCCGCCCCCCGCCCTGATATTGTACAACGACTACCGGTCTCCATCGCCCTCGACATTCTCCGCCATTCTCCTCTACTAGATTATCGCTTTATCTTCCAGTCTCCCCTGGAATCCATCATCGAACACTTTGGCGTGCCATCCCACCGAACGTCGATTCTCGACTCCCTCCTGCCAGCTCCCACACCGCGCAGACACTGCAGAGAACCAGTCTACTCTGGGACACATGTTTCAAGATGGCGTCCCGTCACGGTGACGACGATGGGACGGCGAGTACGAGCCCGAACACGACGATCGACCGCATCGACAAAACCTCAAGTGACTTCAGCGGCGGCGGCAGCAGTATATCTGCAGCTGGCAGACCGTCTGCCTTGGAGGAGGAGTTCCATGTTGCTGTAGAGGCAGCAAATGGTCCCGCAGCTACAAGAGCCGAACCGGCCACGAACTCATCGAGCACAGCGCCTTCCCGTGCAGCCTTTGAGCATCCTGGTCGTCCCGCCTCGCCTGTTGCGTCTGCTGCCCCGGCAGCTTCGGCTGTTCCTTTTTCCCCCGTGCCTTCTGCTGCTCCTGCCGCCTCGATGACTTCTACCCTACCGGCTGGTCCTGGTCGCACTGCCCAACCCAAGGCACCTGCCGCTCCTGCCACAGGTACGCCAGCGGCAGCCGCACCCTCCGATCCAACTGTGTCCTCCAGTATCCCGATAAGACAGTCGACCAGGGAAGCCTACAGGCCACCGTCGCCACCGCTCCCTCCCGTTCCTTTCGAGTGGCAGAGTCCGGCGGAGCGGCGGCGCAATCAAGAGCCCGCTCCGCTGCCGCCTTTTCCTCCTGAATGGACCTACGCTGCTTCACGCTCTAATGCAGCACGCTCGCAACAACGACAACCATTGGCGCCCAGCCAGACACGATCAAGGTCATCTACATCTACTGCGAGTAGTTCGGCTGCGCGTCGGACATCGACCGCTGGTGCTGAGAGCGACGAGCCACCAATTCCTCCTGCTCCTGCTCCTGCTCCTGCTGCACCGCCTTCACTGCAGCCGACACCACAAGAACAGCGACAGCAGCGCCAACAGCGGCAGGACATCACTCTGCCTAGGTGGCAGCCTGACGCTGAGGTCACTTACTGCCCCATTTGCTTCCAGCACTTCAACATCTTTGTCCGAAAACACCACTGCAGGTACGTACATACCGATTTGTCACATGTATGCCTGGCCGCATTCACCGTGCCCGCTGTCTTGTCATAATGCTAATAAACCGTTCACAGAAAATGCGGAAGGGTTGTTTGCAACAGTTGCTCCCCGCACCGCATTACCATTCCCTACCAGTACATTGTCTTGCCTCCTGGAGCGCAGCCCTATCCAAGACAAGATGCTAACCAGTGGGCCAACCCGACGGATGATGTGAGATATCTTGGTGGCGGTGAACGTGTCCGCCTTTGCAATCCGTGTGTGCCGGATCCCAACACTACACCGCCAGCAGCCCATACTTCTTCTCTCGCTGCCACTGGTGGCTCGTCCAGCCGGTATCATTCACGGTCGTACAGTAGCGTCCAGAGCAGCTCTACACAGCAACGTACTGTGTCAGGTAGTGCGACGGGTGGCAATGAATATACGCCTCCTCCTCCTCCCTATGGTTTGTCCGTTCCAGACGCAAGATCTTCACTGTCTCCTCAACTCGCTCAGGGATATCGTACAACGCACGGCACAAATTCGACTGCTGGCAACGCTCTTGCGTCCGCTTCTTCGGGCGCCTCCTCATCCTCGGCTCAAAATCGGTACCGTCACAACCGGCTTAGCTTGCCTCCGTTGACTGCCGTCATGGCCTCCGCTCAGGAGCAACAGCTGCAGCTGCAGTTGCAATTGCATCAAAATCAACAGCAACAGCTACAGCACCAGCACCATTCACATCATCGTCATAGCCAAGGCCACAGACACAGGCCCCCGCCAACACCACAAATTGCCGAGGAAGACGAGTGCCCAGTGTGCCACAACGAGCTGCCTAAGCGTTCGCTGCCCAACTTTGAAACCCTGCGTGAGGCCCACATCACCGAGTGCCTTGAAACGCAAAGTCGGTACATGGGAGGCAGCTCCAGCAGGTCGCCGACGAACGGGGTCACCGACGCGTCAACAACTTCCACCTCACTACCCGCAAACACTGCAGAGGCTTCTTCGTCGACAGCGTCACCACCCCCGCCGCGGATGACGGGCATGTTTCCCTACCGCGCGACGGAAAAGGACTGCGTTGATGCAGCTGAGTGCACCATCTGTCTCGAGGACCTGGAAGTGGGCGTGCCAATGGCCCGGCTCGAATGCTTCTGCCGCTTTCATGAGCGGTGCATCCGCGCCTGGTTTAAGAATCATCCAGGACGGTGCCCTGTTCACCAACACGACAACTTTGGATACTGATCTCGGCCATCCCGACGTCCTCACTTTTTTTTTCATTCTCTTTTTTTAAAAGAAAATGTGCTGTTTTACACTATTGGTCCCTTGAATATACGCAGCCTTCCTAAGCGTTTTTCATACTCTCTAGCGCTCACCAAACTTTTCTTTTATTTTCGTCTGTCGTTGCACTTGTACGTAGCTTCTCGTTTCTGTTATCTCGCACCATACCCTATTTTGTTATTTTTTTTCAGCTTGTTTTTTGCAAGTTTTTGTCTCCAACTCTCAGTACTATTTTATTCCAGCTGTAACGCGGTTCTCATTAGACATTCTCATCTGGCTTTATACAGCTGCGTATTATAGTGTAATCGGGAGGTTACTCAAAACTAAATCTTATGTTTTCTCGTGCTGGGAACCACTGCTTTGCTTTTGATATTATGTCTTTAGCTAGTCCACCCTTCGCGGTGTTGTTCAATTCAAGAACACTATTTCGTATACGTAAACTCTTTTTGTGGCGATCTATGGAGATTCATTGCAATAAAGTAAATCACGGTCAAAGTCCTCTTTTACTGTAAGCCATAAAACGGGCCTCTCAAATTGCAAATAGAACCAAATTCGTATTAAAAACAGCGAAGCATATAAACTATAAAACTAGAACCCCAAAAAGGTGGAAAGAAGATAAAGGGAAATCGTTGCAATAAAATAAAAAACAACCGCAAAAGATATATTGGCAAAACCATCAGACCACTGAAATTGCAATTTTTTTCTCTTGTCCATTTATTTCGTCCAAATTACACCATTCCTAAAGCCAAAACCCAATTTACGGCATATTTGGGAATCGAAACTACCAACTACGCCGGAGTACCCTCGCGGCTAGAAGGAGGGCGAGCCTCGCGCTTGCTCAAGAAGCTGCGGCGGAACGACTTGGGGCTGTCCGTGGTGCCATTGGATTCGTGCGGTGTGAAGGTGCTCTTAACAACAACCGAGCCGTCGCCAACACTAATCTCTTTCTCAGCGTTTGAGCCGGACTCGTCCACGACGTACAGAGACTCGCCCAGGACGTCGTCGCTGCCGAAGCGGTGCTGCTCGCGGACCTGGACCTGGAACTGCGCATCGGCTGTGCACGTGGTTTTAAATGACTCATCGAACTTGGCCACGCCGCTTTGCGGTTTGTGATGCTTGGTCTTGCCAATCGTCTTGGATTTGGAGCCAATCTGGTTGAGGATGACGTACACGTCCGAGGACGGTGGGTAGCCCGACGCAGAGACGATCGTGAATACAGCCGTGCCAGCACCCGGCGAGCCGGGTGCCACACTGTAGATGGACGCAGCCCCGCTTGCAGTGCGGTTGTGGCCCAGGCTTCTCGACGCAGCCAGAGCTGGGCCTGGAGGTACGTCCAGAGCCGGTTCGTCATGCTGGCTGACAACCGCCGGATCGGTGAGACCCGAGGCACGCTTGACCATGGTGTTGGGGACCGCAGAGTCGCCGTTCGTTGTGATGGCAGTGCCGGGGGCGGCCGTGTCAGCAGCGGCAATTTGAGCAGCAACTACCTCCTCGTCTTTCTTGCCCCCGCGGAAACCGCGACGCAGGAAGGAAGCACCCTTGCCGACACCGTGGCCCACCACACCGACAACAGCCGCGCCACCCTTAATGGGAGCACCAGCCACGCCAGTAACGATTCTTGTCGGGGCGGTAAATGTGGACGTGCCCTGTCTTTGGCGGGTAACGTAATCAGGGCGGAACAAAAGGCGTATGCGAGCCGTTCCAGACTTGCCATCGAGTGGCAACCGCATCTCTGAAGCTTTAAAGGGCTCTAGCTGGTCGAGCTGGATTGGCGAACCGCCCAGGAAGTCCGGCTTGTCCGCAAAGTCGTAGTCGTACACTTTGAGGTTGAATGCAGCACCGATTCTGGATGGTACAGGAATCTCGAAGAACTCGTTCCATGTCGGGTTGAGGGTCTTTTTCTGCACCTTGGTTTTGAACACTTCGTCTCCGTTGAGCTCGAACTTGCAGTACGGGTCACTCTTGCCGTTCGAGTCCGCTGCGGGAAGATTCTCCGCATCAAGAACGTCAACGCGAAGGTTGCCCATGTTGTTGATGCTCTCTCTGGGGTCCAGCTCCATCTGCACGGGAATGTACTTGAGACTAATACGAACAGAGCTGACTCTGCCTTCCTCGTCCTTCAGCTTCAGTGTAGTGGGGTTGTTCTATGAAGTGTTAGTAAACGAAAACAGCGCTGCAAAGTAGCCTTTCTCCCGTGAAGATGAGGCAGGTATAAGTTAACTTACCAAGCACTGCTTTAGCGTATCGAGTGTATTGCCAGTAAGGCGGGCGAAAGGACGATCCTTCTCATCCTCCTTCTTCTCGCCGCCACGGTCACGAATCTTGATGGTGAGGCGGGAGAAGTCAAGCTCGCGAATGAAGCAGTCGCCCATCTCATCGAACGTAAAGGACCGGGAGCGCGCGCTGGACGAGACATAGGAAGGAAAGGCCATATCATCGACGAAAATCTCGAGCTGGGTATCGGGACGCGGCAGCTCGGCCTCCATCAACTTGAAGATGATGAGACCGGACTCGTACTTGAGGAGTTCTTCTGGGGTCAGGTGAACCTTGGGCGGGCCCTTAGGCTCGTCCGCCTTGGTGGACAGAACGTCGCTGCCCGGCTTGGATGTGGTTGGACTTCCTGGAGCCGCTGCAGGGACAGTCTGGCTTGCCTGGGTCTTGGACGCCGTGGGCGAAGTGGGAGGGGATGGGATGGTGGCCGACGTGGGTGACGTTGGGACGGAGCCGCTGACGGATGCTTCCTTTCCGTTCTGCGCCTTGGCCGCCTCCTTCTCCTTCTCACGCTCCTCCTCTTCGGGATCGGCGACATTCAAGCAGGGGAAGAACGAAATAGTGTAGGACAGAACACCCTTGGCCATACCTTTGCCGTGTAGCTTGAGGCCTTCCTCACGCTGAGTCTTCTTGTCGTTGACCAGGTAAGCACCGTCTTCATCCTGGGCAATGAAGTCACCGGCGAAAATATCCAACAGACCCAAGCTGCGGTCGCGGCCCATGGTCTCGGCGTCCATGACCTCGAGCTGAAGGCGCTCACGGGTGCTGTGGACAGGAACGTACAGAACCTCGTCCCACTCGGGGTTGAGGTTGTTTTTGAAAGTGACAGTGCGGGCTTTCTCAATACCAGACAGCAGGACACGGGCGTAGGGGTCGGACTTGCCGACAGTCTCGAAGTTGCGAAGAGCAGTCGCCTTGATAAAGTGGACGCGCATGACACCAATAGGGGTTTGGTAGCCGCCTGTGCCGGCAATGACACCAGACAGAGCGACAGGCTTCCACTGGGCTTGCATCTTGACGCGACCGGTCTTGGCGCCAGCAAGGTTGTACCAGTCCTGGCCCTTTTCCATGAGGTCGAGCATATCGTCAAGCTTGATCTGATAGTTGCCAATCAGCTGGTCGCCGGCGATGTCGCGCTCGTCCTTGACAACGACACCGAGCTTGGCCTTGGCGCGGTCCGTGATGAGGATTTCCTTGGAGCCGTTGTCCCAGATGGGGTTGTTTGTCCGCTTGAGCTTCTTGGTAGTGTGAATTTCCTTGCCGTTGAGCAGAAGGACCGAATAGGGGTTAAGCATGCCGACAAGACTCTTAGTGCCGTCCAGATCCTTGGCCTGCTCGACCGTGAAACGCAGAATACCAGTGTTCGAAGGCGGGGCAGGCTCAACTGTGCCATCGGGCAGCTTGTCATCAGTTAGAACGGGGAAGAAGCGGATGTCGCATGACACTTGACCGTGGGCTTTGCCATCGGCGATGACCTCGAGAGTCTCGTTCTCAGCCTCGTTGACCTCTTCGAGGTTCTCGAGCTGGAACGAGGCGACACCCAGCTCCTTGTCCTTGCGGTAGTCATTGAAATCGTTGACAATGAGGTCGAGCGAATCGTTGAAAGAGGTGACAATGATATAGTGAGTTTCGTTCCAGCGCGGCGTGTTCGTGTCGCGAATAATCTTGGTCTGGGCCAGGGGTGAGCGGCGGTTAAGGGTGATGACCGCATAGGGGTCGATGGTGCCAGAAAACTTGTCGGGGTTCTTGAGGCCCTGGGCACCGTGCAGCGTAACAGCAACGACGCCAATGGCCTGGTCGACGGGGGAACCAGACAACATCTTGGCGACTTCGATGGGGAAGACGTTGGGGGCGTACATCATAGGGGCCAGGTTGCCGTGAATCTGCTCAAGAATGAACGATTCAAGACCAGGAATGAAGTTGATATCGAAACCGAAAGTCTCGCCACCGAGCGGCTTACAAACGTAGTCAATGGTCGGCTTCTCCAGGAAGCACATCTCAATCTTTTCGACGTGAGGGAAGGGGATCTGCAGCTTGATCTTCAGACGCATGAGACCAGAGAAGGCCATGTCCTCGACAATAACGTCCAGACCCTTGCTTATCATGGCCTTGCCGACACGGATCTCAAGCACGACCTTGGGGTTGATCTTGTTCTTGACCTGCTGGGTGGTCATGTCGGCAATGTCGTTGGGAGAGAAGCTGAACTTCCAGTCCATCATGACAATGTCATCCTCAGCCTTGGGGTAGGTCTTGACGTGCTCCATGCGGGGCGGCTTGGAGCCGAGTGTAAAGGTACGGAGTTTGAGGCTGTCCAAGAAAGCTGGGGTGGCTGAGCTAAGCACCTGGTCGACGGAGTTGATGATGGTCTGGGCCAGAACGGGCTGGTAGATGGGCCAGAACTTGAACAGGAACGAGTTCATCCACTCAAGTGATTCAGAATCGGTTTCGAGGCGCTTCATTGAGAGCTCGCGGTTGAGATCGTCACGGAAGTTGCGGCGCACACGGCGTATAGAGGTGCGGTAGTAAGTGCCACACGTGGCAATAATAATAAAGACCCAGCCAAGGCCGCCACCGAGGACGGCAATGAACCAGGAAGTCAGGCAAGCAAAGATGATGATACCCGTGTTGTGGTACCAGTCACCGTACAAATTGGCCGGCAGCCGGCCTTCGAGCCACGTGGAATGCTCGAGCAG